GGTTGAATCACTGGTCGAACCGCATGACTAAACCGGATAACTCGGTTGAATAGACCTGTTATCATAACAAAATTATATAGATATAAAACCGGTTGAACCGGATAATTCAGTTTCTAAAAAAAATATAACTAGCACTTAATTTTTTTGAAAATATTATATCATAAATTCTCAAGTTCATAATTTAAATTCAAATTTTAAACATAAGTATCAAATACAATAAAATAGTACAAAATTATAAAGTCTAATTGCAACATAATATAATTGAATAACTTGTAACAAAATAACTTTATTGTCTACTTAAGTTTAGATTCTAAGGAGGTAAAATTATTTCAAAACAATGATAACAATTTTTTTTTTATTTTAATTTTTATAACTCAAAATGACATTGTTTGCATTTAAATATTAATTAAAAAAAAACATTAGAACCGTCGGTTTATAGAAACCGTCGGTTTTCTGATTTTTCTCGATCCAACCCGATTTGCACTGGTTTTGACCGGTTTGATGACAAATGCGATCTAATTATTGAATTAGACCGGTTACTAGTCCGATTTCCGATTCAATCGGTCCGACCGACTAGTCCGATCCGATTTTTACAACTATGGTAAGCATAACTCCTAAAACAAGTATAGATAATCATCTATTTCATTTATACATTTATACATTTATTTATACATTTCTTTAGTCTATTTAATGGAAGATCTGAGCCTAAAAAAAAATTACACGGAAATTAACTAAGGGATTGAAATTCCTAACATGTCATTTTCAAGCAAAAGACACAAATCAGAATTACACATAGCATTTAGATATGAAATTCCATTTTTTTCGAGAGCATCTGCACACAAGTTTACTTTGTGGTAGATATGAGTGATTTTAATATCATTATTTTGTTGAAAATGTGATCTAATTTTGGAGATCAACTTTCTTTCCATGATGTTGTTTGAATTGTTTGTATTTATATCAGTAACCACTTGTTGAGAGTTAATATTAATATTAATATTCGTAAAGTCTAATTTGTACGCAAGTTGCAAGTCTTCATAAACTCCCCACAACTCTGTTGTATAAGCATCACACACTTTAATAGACTTCGAGAATCCCCTAACCATTCTCCTTCATTGCCTCTAATAATACTTCCACATCCCACATTTCTTTTATTGTCTCTGGCACTGTCTGTGTTCAACTTCACCATTCCCATTACACGAGCTTCTCATTTTATCAATTTCAGTTCTCTATAATGTTTTTTGTGCTTATATTAGTTGAAGCATCCGCTTGTTCATAATCCTGCACCAACTTATTTATATGAGTCGTCATACTAGTTGGTCTAGAGTAGCTATCATCATGAATATCTTTATTGTGCCAACTCCAAAGATTATGACAAGCAGTGGCTAAAAAAAAACCTTCAAATCATTCCTATCATTCTATCCCATATTTTTTTTGCATGTTACTATGTATCCATTGCTTCAAGTCACTTCCAAAAAAGAGAAATCCCATGTTAGTGTGCATCGCTGATAGCCATAAGACCATTGCAAGCGGGTAATCCAGGAGGACATGCAACGTGTCTTCCTCCACATCACCACATAAATTAAATATTGCACTCCCTAGGCCCATTCAATTTTTCTTGTTGTTTGTGAGAAGGCCATCATGATTAAGCAACTACATGAAACTTCGATTCCTTTTAAAAGTTTGAAGTTTCCATATATCTGTCCAATTTTCATCCTCTTGAAGGTTGTTCTCATCAAAGAGCTGGTTATACATGGTGCTAATTGAAAATCTTTTAGAGCTCTCTCCAATTCTAGCCCTCACATGCAGCTCTGCATCTATCGAAAGAGGGAGAATACCCGCAATTTTGCTCAGAATATTCTCCGACATCCATTGACATAAAATGTCCTAGTTCCACTCTACATCTTTTCTCGTGAGATCAACAACTTTAGTTGATTGAAGCTGCACGGGGATATGAATATCCAGAACATCTATTCTAATATCCTGTGCTAAAATATTGAGTTCTTTGGCGTCAAGAATTGACAGTGTAGTAGTTGCGATTGAGTAATCGAAGGATCATACAATGATGAGTAAGGAGGAGCTGCAAAGCTCTCTTGAAGCTCATGAGCAGAGAATGGAGGAAAGGAATGTTGATAAGGCAAAGACGGAGATCGCTTTGCAAGCCCGTTTAAATGAAAGAGACAAATAGGTGAAGGGAAAGTGGCCCATGAACAAAAGTAAAGGGAACTTTCAGAATTTTGGTACAATAGAACTCCAAAATTCCAAAAATTCAACATTCCAAAAGGGTGAAAGCAATTGCAATAGAGCTGGTGAATCATACAACTCTAGAGGTGGCAACATTTGAGAAAGAGAAGGAAGAAAGAAAGGTGACAAAAGTAGTGTGCAATGCTTTAGTTGTCAAATGTTTGGTAATTTTGCAAGTGAGTGCAGTTCCAACAAGAACGAACCTCAAGAAGATGAAGTTAGAGTTGTAATACAAGAGTATGATGATGAAAATACACTCTTGGTGATGATAATTGAAGGAAAAAGCAGCAGTAGATGGTTACAAGGCAACTGTAAGAGGTTACAACAGGCTTCCATAGAAGGCTATAATCAGTTACCTATACATTATAACTGGTTACCAGCAGAAGAAAAAGCCATGGTGACTACGAAAGAGATTGTACAATGCAACAACTAATGGTATCTAGACTCCGTATGTTCAAAGCACTTGACAAGAAGAAAAAATTGGTTTGTTACAAATTACAATCAATAGTACCATGAAGAACAAGGTAAAATTTGCAGATGATACCACTCTAGAGGCGGAAGTAATTGGTGTCATATTGATTAAGAGAAGGGATGTTAACCATTCTTTGGTAAAAGATGTGTTGTATATTCCCGAGCCAATTGTAACCTTCTATGCATTCACCAATTACTTGAGAAGGGTTACAAGATGTGTTAGAACATGTAACATTGTCATTACTCCCGCTAAACCGAGGCTGCAACAGTGAAAGAATGAGCATGAGCAGTATGTTAATCAAAACTCAATATAGAAGGATGATTGGATCTTTACGATACTTGTGTAATACGAGACGAAATTTGGATTTTAGTGTCAGAATTATGAGCAGATTCATGAAGAGATCAAATGTGTCTCACTTGGCAGCAGTCAAGAGGATCCTAAGATACCTCAAATGTTTTATTAGCTACAAAATTTTGTTTCCTACGACGAAAAAGGGCAAAAATTGTAATTTAATTGGATATACCGATTCCAACTGATGCAAAGATAAATATGACAGAAAATCCACAGTTGGATACATCTTTATGTTCGAGAAACATCGATCTCATTGTGTTCGAAGAAGGAACCGGTAATGTCGCTCTTTTCTTGTCAGGCCGAGTATATTGCAGCTTCGTTGTGTGTGTGCCAAGTTGTATGGTTGGTGAATCTATTGAAGGAGTTGTGCAGTGAAAAGGGTGAGGTTATAACACTCATGGTTGACAACGTTTCAGCTATAAACCTTGCTAAGAATCCCATTGCACATGGGAGAAGCAAACATATTGAGATGAGGTTTTACTACTTGAGAGAACTTGTTAGTGAAGAAAGATTGAGGTTGGGATATTGTACAAGTGAAGTCCAAGTGGCCGATTTGTTGACCAAATGAGTGTCAATTGAAGTATTCAAGAGATCGAAGAAGCACATGGGCATGAAAGACTTGGATCACGTGAACTAATGTGATGTGTTGAGTGAAAAGTATAATTAAAGTGTCTGTAATCGATTATTGTGGAGTTGTAACCTATTACAGCTGAAATAATCGTTTCGTAACTGGTTACAATTTGTTTGTAATCGATTACAGCTGAAACAAAATTGTTTAGTAATTGGTTACACTTTATCTTTAACTGGTTACAACGGTTGCAATTTGGCTCGTAATCGGTTATTTCAGAACTGTAACCAGTTGCAGCGGTAGGTTTTTTTAGTTTTGTGTTTGTTACTTGTATTCCACTCTATATAAAAGTATATATACTCTTTAGTATCTCAATAATAAAAGTTCACCATTTTTCATGCTCAATTATTATTCTGTCTCACTCTCTCCCTCTCCACATTTAAAATCACTATTCTTATAGTTTTTTGTTCCAACAATTTTGTAAACACATCTATTTTTAACTTTTTTATTTTTTTATTTTTATAGTTTTGTCTTCCATACATTCTATAATTTTTTAATTTTTTATATTCTATTCTATCAGTTATTATTATTTATTCTTTTTATATTCTATTCTATCACTTATCATTATACTTCTTTTTCCCATATTTGATTGGAACTAAAGAAAATTCCCTTATTCCATCATAACAAAATTCAAATGAAATGAAATCTCTATTTCTACTTATGATTCCTATAAATAAAATTAATAATATAGAGTTTGTATTTTTTTTTGTTGTTGAAGGAATTAGATTTTTAATTACAATCTTAAAAATTATAAATGTCTAACTAAAAAAAATTGAAATATTAGTTAGTTGTTCTAATGATAATTGATGATTTACGTTAAATTTAACAAGAAAGATTCCGGTTAAATTCTTTATAACAGCGATTGAAAGAGATATAAAACCACGTAATGTGGGAACTAATCCTTTAATCGAATTAATAAATCCAATGGACCCATGCTATTGATAAAAAAAAAATTAAATTGAAAAATTCCCTACTAACTCAATATTTATTTATTTATTTTTCATACAAATTTATAAATTAATGAAAAGGAGAATAAAAAAGTTAGCATAAAAAGAAAATCAGTTTGATTTGAAGAATGTTTCCACAGCAAGAAATCACAGAACCGAAAACCTCGACGCTGCTCACTCCTCTTTCTTCTCCATCTTCAACAACTCACGCTACCATGAATCAGATGCTTCCATCACTGTCAACAAGAACACCAAAAGATCCAATCTTGCTACCCATTTGAATCCTTTCAATCCATACAAAAATGGTGTTTCACGGTAGAACAAGGACAAGGAGAAACATTAGGCTTCAGAGTTAGAGACAATGACGACTACCAATGGGGATGAGAATGAGAATAGTTTGGAATTGGTAGAGCCAAAAGGTTCTAGAGAGGATAAAGAAAAGAATAAGAAGAAGAAAAAAGTGAAATCTGTGGAGTCTGTAGCGGTGGAAAAGAAGATGGAGGATCACAATGCGGTTTCGAGATTTAAGATATCGGAGCCGTTGAGAGAAAAGTTGAAGGAAAAGGGAATTGAGTCGTTGTTTCCTATTCAGGCAATGACGTTTGATACCATTCTTCATGGTTTTGATTTGGTTGGTAGAGCTCGCACTGGTCAGGTGTCTTTCTCTTCTCAATTTCTTTTCTTTAGTTATGTAGCGCCGATCATGGTTCTAAATCGCGGCATTGCGGTTTTTGTTATTGCGATGCACGTTGCAGAGTGAATTTTGTTTGAGAAGAATTTGAAATACACCTTTAAAAGACACTTATGTTAAGATTTTTCATGAGGAAATTGGTTTTAAGGTTCTATATTGAGTTTAGACCAAAATCTTTGAAGAAACCTAGGAGAAGTTGTTTGATGTGGGTCCTAATGTAAAAAAACGCGTGATTTTAAATCACACCGCAATCGCGGTCTGATACGGTTGTTGAGACTACGTATCAACAATATTACGGCCACAATTACGATTGCGGACCGCAATTTAAACCATGGCGGAAACACTTTACATTGAAAGTGTGTCTGGCGTCAATTAGTCACTCGTGTTTGTGTTATTGTTTCGTGCTTATTTGTTATAGAAGTGTTTGAGTTGTGTGTGATTCAGTTCATTTGTGTCGTGTATTGTATTTGTAAGTTCATAATAAAGTAGTCTTTCTTAAGAGGAATGTGATTATTTGCGGTAACATAGTTAGTTGATAAATAACTTTATTAATCACTTATAATATAAGCGCTTATCATAGAACTACTTATGTATATGATTTCTATAATGAAAATATGATGAGGTTGAATTGATTTCATAAGTTAACCTAAAGAGCTTATAGAAACAAAAAGTTGAAAATAGCTTATGGAAATGTCATTAACAGTTTCCATAAGCTTTACTAAACAATATCACAAGTTTTTATCTGTGTAGCATCGCTACCTCTGGAAAATTGTGTAATAGTGTCGGTGTCTGAAACCGACACCAACATTCGTAATTACGTTTAATTTATTCATGTTTTCAAATTATTATTGGTGTTGATATGTCAGTGTCACTGTCGTGTTTATGGTGTCCGTGCTTCATAGGTTTTTATGCTATATGATAAGTTTAAATAAGTCAATCCAAACGGACAAAAATCTGAGTTGTCTACTTTTGGGAAACTGCAGGGTAAAACTCTTGCCTTTGTATTGCCAATAATAGAATCTATAACAAACGGTCCAGCCAAAGCCTCAAGAAAGACTGGCGATGGGAGGTCACCGAGTGTTCTTGTGCTTTTACCTACTAGGGAATTGGCCTGTCAGGTAGGTACATACACTATTTGTACTTGTGTTTGCATTGCTGGCTGAATGTTATTCTGTTCCTTACCATGTGTGGAGTATTGTGCATTAGGTGAATGCTGATTTTGAAGTTTATGGAGCGGCAATGGGATTAATCTCTTGTTGTTTATATGGAGGAGCTTCTTATCAAGCTCAAGAGATTAAGCTTAAGCGAGGCGTGGATATTGTTATTGGTACACCAGGCCGCATAAAGGTAATTATTGTAATACTAGTTGGTTATATGTAGCGGTTTTCTTGTTTCTTGATATAAATATCAATTCTTGCAAGGGTAGATTTGAAGAAAGATTTTGTGTGTTAAGACAATATTTGGAAGAAAAAAAGTTTATTTGTTTCCTTGATGAATGGCCTGATGTAGGATCATGTAGAGCGGGGAAAAATCGACCTGAGCCAACTAAAGTTTCGTGTCCTCGACGAAGCAGATGAGATGCTGAGAATGGGTTTTTTTGAAGATGTTGAACTGATCCTTGGTGTGTTTTTCCTTTATCTATTTTTTATGATCTCAATTTGCAGCAATTTGTGTCTTGAACTCGCTGTGGAACAATTATTCCTTATTTATGCAGGTAAGGTTAGAAATGTAGGTAAAGTTCAGACGCTTCTTTTCAGTGCGACTTTGCCAGACTGGGTTAAGCATGTATGTTTCTAAATGATAATTTCTTATTTACACTGATTCGATTTTATATTACGAGTCTTTTGACATTGTCGAATTTATACTTTTGCCAGATTGCTAAAAAATTTCTTAAGCCAGATAAGGAAACTGCGGATCTTGTTGGCGATACGAAAATGAAGGCCAGTACCAGTGTTAGGCATATTATTCTTCCTTGTACTGGCTCTGCCAGGTCCCAGCTTATCCCAGACATTATTCTCTTTTACAGCAGGTGAGTTTAATGATTCAATTTTCGATTATATTCCGATTAGATAAATCTATCTTCCCGTTGAATTTAAATCTTTATTGTTTTGGTATACTGTTCTGATTCAGTGGAGGTCGAACAATTATATTCACGGAGACAAAGGAATCGGCCTCTCAGCTCGCAGAGTTGTTGCCTGGAGCAAAAGCACTCCACGGCGACATACAGCAAGCACAACGTGAGGTGAGATAGTAATGAATTTTGATCAACTGATGAGTTTCTTTTTTCTCGATGTCTTTTGACGAGAGTGAGTGCAGCACCTGTGTTTTCATCTCGCTTATTTTTGTTCTGTCACTTGCAGGTTACTTTGAATGGCTTTAGGTCTGGGAAATTCATGACATTAGTTGCCACTAATGTGGCTGCGCGGGGTCTGGATATTAATGATGTTCAGTTAATTATTCAGGTACTTTTGATGCATATACATACAATACTATGGATAATTACTATATTCATCTCAACATTGTTTTCTGATAATTGTACTTTGTTTAGTGTGAACCTCCAAGGGATGTTGAAGCCTATATTCATCGTTCTGGGCGCACAGGAAGAGCAGGTATTCATTTTGTAAATGCAGACTGATTATAAACTGGTTTATGAATACAAATTGGTTTTTATCTGGTTTTAAACTAAATTGAAACTATTTTAGCGGTTAACTAGTTTTTGTTCAAGTGGCCATTCGTGAACCATGAACACCCCCTAAGTTATGCAACGGCTTGGTTTTATATTTGCAGGTAACACTGGAGTTGCTGTAATGCTATATGATCCAAGGAGGTCGAATATATCTAAAATAGAAAGGGAGTCGGGTGTTAAATTTGAACATGTATCTGCCCCTCAGGCTAATGATATTGCCAAAGCTATTGGTGCAGAAGCTGCAGAAATGATAACTCAAGTGTCTGATAGGTTTGTTTTTCATTTGCCTATTGTGTGTAACGCTTTGTTTAGCTCTTACATTTATGTCGAAAACGCAGCGTGATTCCTGCATTCAAGTCTGCTGCCGAGGATCTTTTAAATAACTCTGGTTTATCGGTCGTTGATTTACTTTCAAAGGCTCTTGCCAAGGCTGTTGTGAGTCAATGTTCCTCATTTTCTCCATTTGGTTTTTTCTTGCAATTTTTTTTTAGAAAAAGTATCAAATCCTTCATCTTCCCTTTTTATTTAAAAAAAAATCTGAGGTTTATGATATAATGTGTAGGGTTATACAGAGATCAAGAAAAGATCTCTATTAACTTCTATGGAGGATTATGTTACATTACTTCTTGAGACCGGGAGACCTATCTTTACACCAACGTAAGAACTTCACAAACAACTTTGGTTACAAATTATGGAATTGACATCTCTATTAACTTCGTTGGTTGTTGTCAGTTTTGCATACAAAATGTTGAGGAGGTTTTTGCCCGAAGAGAAGGTCGAGGCTGTGAAAGGTCTTGCTATTACTGCAGATGGAAACGGTGTAGTTTTTGATGTACTAGCCGAAGATTTAGATACATATCTTGCTGGTAGATAATTTTTCATGAATCATCACTAGCAAAGAATATGGTTAGACATTGCGTTTTTATTTTGGTCATAGTTTAAACTCCATAATATTTGTCTTTCAGGTAAGAAAAACGCCTCAGATGTAAGTTTAGAGGTGTTAAAAGCTTTGCCGCCTCTACAACAGAGGGATCAATCAAGAGGCGGAAGATTTGGAGATGGAAATGGCCGCGGCGGGAGAAGCGGTGGTGGCGGAAGGAATAGTAGATTTTCAAATGATAGGTTTACGAATGGTGGTGGTGGTAGAGGTCGTGGCAACTGGGGTGGGAAAAGATGGTGAAGTCTACTGTTTGTTCAATATGAGGGAGCATAACTGCATGAGGCTTCAATGGAGATAATGAGTTTAGTTGTGAGCTATGTAGCATAGACACCTCGAAAAAAAATGTATGTTCGTGTTTGTGTTGGGCACTGAGGACGACACCGACACCAAGTGATATGGTGAAGTTGACAGGGATGTTCACTATTGTTCATTATGCTTAGTTATGACTTGTGATTCAAGTTCAGTGGCTTTAGAGGATTGATGTTCAGATGAGCTCAATGTGTCACCACAATCCATTAACATAATTTGTTTTAGGTGTAGAATTTTACTTCAAACAGAGAGGTATAGGGTTGATTTTTTTTATTCATACATGGTTAGATTTTTTATATGAACGAGAATGGTGAAGAAAGGAATATTTTTCTTTAATTTATTTTTATATCCTTTCTTTTTCTAGTACACCTAGTTATCTTTCTTGATTCAGTTGTGATAGTGTATCCTTTCTTTTATAAAATTTCCTTTGGTGTTCAATTTCAAATAAAATTGGTTAGTGGCTTCTTAATCAATTTCATTTCAGCTTTTACATTACTCAACAAAACAATGATCTTTAGAGTCTCTTTAGTTTGGTTTATTTGAGCTTATCTATTCATATAAGTTTTGAGAGACTTTGTCAAAACAACTTATTACACATTTCATAAAAAAAATTATGTTTCATAAGTTCTTCAAGTAGCTTATAAAAATAATTTATAGCATATATAAAAACAATTCAAATATATGTTATTTTTGTTATAACAATAACTGATTTGTAAAAATTTATTTTAATAAATACTTGTCCTATAAACTACAAATAAATTTATTCAATCGTTTAGTCTAATTCATATGTTAATTGCGTGAATCGTCAACAAAAGAATTGTGCATTATCTTAAAACTCTCTAGAGTTTGGACCATATAACTTTAAAAGATTAATTAGGTATTAAAATTGTATTAATTTCAAGAAAATCTAAGCAATTGTATATTTGTAAGAAGATTATAAATAGACTTCCAGTATAAAAACTCTAGCCATAATAGAAAGCATTGTTAGGTGAATAAATTTCCAAACGTGAAAATTGTATTTCGTATCGTTCACTCCATAATTTAGTTCATACAACTAATATCATTAATCACGCACGTATAAAAAAGAATCACATCATTTTATATATCTAATAAAAATAGAAGCAGAAGCAATGAAATTCACTGATTTTCTCTTTGCACTGAAACCTCATTTTCCAATACTAATAGCTTTTATTGTTTTAGTTACTTATTTTATCAAAATCCATGGAAGTGGATTTTTTGACAAGAAAAGAAGGTATCACCCTGTTGGTGGCACAGTCATACACCAACTCTTCAACTTTCATAGGCTTTTTGACTATATGACTGACCTTACAATGAAGAGAAAAACTTACAGGCTTCTTAGCTTCACTAGAAGTGAAGTCTACACCTCAGACCCTGCTAATGTTGAGCATATGCTCGTTACAAACTTCTCAAACTACGGCAAGGTCAGTATCCTGTCTAGTGTCTGTGTAGTACTAATTTGGCGCTTGTCAAATATCTGACACCAACACATATTATTATATTTTTTAAATTATTATTACTATCGAAGTCTTGACGTCAGCGTCGTGTTTGGTGTATGTGTTTATGACAACATTTTAATCTATTGCAGGGTTGGTATCACCACGGCGTCTTGACAGATCTACTGGGAGATGGTATATTTACAGTGGATGGAGAGAAGTGGCGACATCAGAGGAAATCAGCAAGCTATCAACTCTCGACTAAGTCATTGAGAGAATTCAGCGGCTCGGTGTTCAAATCCGATGCTGTCAAACTTGCAGGGATAGTGTCGGAAGCTGCAATCTCAAACAATGTCATTGAGCTGCAGGACTTGTTCATGAAATCAACTTTAGATTCTGTGTTCAAAGTTATTCTTGGCGTTGAACTGGACACAATGTGTGGAACATATAGAGAAGGAACACAGTTTTCCAATGCTTTTGATGAAGCAAGTGCTGCTACCATGTTTCGGTATGTTAACATCCTCTGGAAGGTTCAGCGGTTATTGAACATCGGTTCGGAAGCAGTACTAAAGAAAAGCCTAAAAGTGATTGACGAATATGTGTATAAATTAATCAGACGCAAGATCGAGCAATTACAAAAGCCACACGATAACACTCTTGGGTTGAAAGGAGACATTTTGTCGAGGTTTCTCGAATTGAATGAGACAGATTCAAAGTACCTTAAAGACATTATTTTGAGTTTTATCATTGCGGGGAAAGACACAACCGCAATCACTCTTTCTTGGTTTCTTTACGAACTATGCAAGAATCATCATGTGCAGGAAAAGATTGCACAAGAGATTAGAGAGGCAACAAAAGTAGAAAATGGATCAACCATTGATGAACTTGCGGCTAAAGTAACCGATGAAAGCATTGAAAAGATGCAGTATCTGCATGCAGCTTTGACCGAGACAATCAGGCTCCATCCACCAATTCCAGTGGTATTACATTTACACCTGAGTTGTTCGCTTTATAATTAAAAGACATAAATTAGAGTCGGTGACGAGTGGTTGACCGTCTAACTAATTTTCTGTTATGGTGTTATTTATAGGAAAGCAAGTATTGTTTTTCAGATGACGAATGGCCGGATGGATATAATGTGAAGAAAGGTGATCTTGTTTCATTCCAACCATATGTCATGGGAAGGATGAAATTCTTATGGGGTGAAGATGCTGAGAGATTTAGGCCAGAGAGATGGCTCGACGAAAATGGAAATTTTCAAAAACAAAGCCCTTTTAAGTTCACTGCCTTCCAGGTATGAAACATTCTATTTAACTAAGCGTTAAGCGTTTTTAAGATAAGCGATTATCATAGGTACTTACGTATAAGTTATTTATAACAGAAGATCTCTATATAACTTTACTATCATTATGATTTCTTCGCACAGGCAGGTCCAAGAATTTGCCTCGGCAAAGAGTTTGCATACAGACAGATGAAGATATTTTCTGCAATTCTGTTAGGTAGCCACAGCTTCAAACTAGCAGACCAAAATAAATTGGTAAAATACAAAACCATGCTCACTCTGCAAATTGATGGTGGCCTGCATGTCTATGCTTTTAAGAGAACTAAATAGTGACCTTACTACAGAACACATTAACCATATATGGAAAACTGAATGGTTATTATTAGTTACATTCTGTCAAATAGATTTCTTGTTTTTGCTATCAAATTTATTTCGTAACAAAAGCATATCCTGGTCGAAGAATATATTATTCAATGTTGATAAACATACACCCATTTTTCATACACTTACTGGATACTTGGCTACTCATGTGTAAAAATGTAGTTAATTCAAGTTCAATTTACGTTGTAAAATGTGGTTAATTCGTTTAGTTGAATTAACCACAATTTTGACTGTGAATTGAAATAACCATCTGTAAACTGAATTAACCCTTTTTTTCCCACATAGTTAACCAAGTATCACACGAGTGTGCGAAAAATAGGTGTACATGAAACATTTTCCTATACGATTATCTTCTTCAAGCCGCTTTAAACCTCGAATGCCAAAAAGGATCAAAATACAAACCAATAGAAGAAATAAGAGGAACACCTCTAGCCTCTATGAATCTAATCCTCACAACTTGAGCATGCACAACATCTCCATCAAGCCTATGAAGCCTCTTGTAACCAATTGTTGTCCCTTGGATTAACAATTTATCATCCACATAAATTTCATACTTCTTAATCCTTTGACCAAATCCAATTGCTTCTTGTATTCCAATCACATTAAACCTTAAACCTCCATCATTGCCCCATATTTCAACCCAATGGTCCTCCTTTTTCTTATTATCTTCCCGCGGGGTCCAGTATGACCACAAATGGTCAGTATCCAACATGTTTTCTGGTCCAAACCCTCCCTCTTTTCCTCCTCTTTGGCTACTAACTTTAACATAACAACCTTCCGCTATGTTCTTGTGAAAAATTGTATCTATTGCATTTCTAAATTCTTTTAATCTATGAGCATCATTTTCAGATATAAGACCGGTTGTGTTAGGTGGTACATTGAGAATTAACAGGCAATTCCTACCAACTGAGGTGTAATAAATATCAAGTAGCTCACTTAGTTTCTTTGGTGATTCTGATTTATGCCAAAACCATCCTAGACGAATTGAAACATCACATTCTGCTGGTAGCCAATCTGTCCCTCTTGGATCACCAGTGCTCAGATATCTGCATTAAGCAATAATCCACTAATTATTAACTTTAATGTATGATAGAAAAATCATAAGTATGGTAGGTGAAATTAATCACCATTGTTGACTCAAGATCGTATCGTTCATATTGACCATTAAATTAATAATGGATGTAACTGATCTGTATATAGACCACATACCTTAGTTGTTGAATGAATTATGATAAGAAGCTTTGGTAAACCACAAAATTCTTGCTTTAGATTTAGTACCTACTTTTGATTGGGAAAGGAGTACGGCTCACAAAAAAGAATACAATTTCTTTATTCTTTTTTCTTTTTAATTGAGTGGAGTGAGAGAATGCAATTTCTCATCTTTCTTTCTAATAAAGAAAAGTTTTAACCACCACTCAACCTTCACATTCCCTACCATTATCACCATAGATTCAGTGTAAGTGGAAAACTACAAATTCAGCAACTTTTTTCGCACGCATTAACTCCAAAAAGAAAGAGAAAAAACAGCACTTACTGCTCTATGCCTGGACTTCCAATTGCAAGAGAACTTCGATTAATGGTAGACCAACACGTGTCCCCTGCCATCGCATTTTCATTTCCTACCCATCTAACATCAGGTCCAGCATCTGAGAAAATATTGATAGAACTTTGTAACTCCTTCACCATTGAAAACCAATCTGAAAAATAGTATGACACATTTTTTGCCTTCGGATCTTTTGCTCCATCGAACCAGATTTCCCTTACATTTTGATATCTAAAAAATATACAATATAATGTTAATATCCAAAATACATGGATCCAGATACTATGCAGTCAAAACTACGTGCAGAATTACAATCGGTTCATCGTGAAGTTAAAAAATGAGCCGACTACAGGTCTGCGCGCAGTTTTAACTGCATACATATTTAGATTGATATACAAGGGAAATTTCGAACATACTTTTTAAGAAGCTCTTGCAATTGACCTAAATAATATTCATTGTAATGCAAGTCATCACCATATCTAGAATCATGTCTATCCCAAGGTGAAAGATAGATCCCAACATCAATTCCTTTCTCACTAGCTGCATTCACAAACTCTTTCACGACATCACCTTTACCGTTTTGCCAAGTGCTACTAATGACAGAATGTTTGGTGTACTTAGAAGGCCATAGACAAAATCCATCATGATGTTTTGCAGTTAATATCATCAATGAAATTCCTGCTTCTTCTGCCACACTAGCCCATTGGGTTGTGTTGAGACCAGTTGGATTGAATATTGATGGATTTTCATGGCCGGTACCCCATTCGCTGTCACTGAATGTGTTGACGCCGAAATGAAGGAACATAATGATTTCTCTTTGTTGCCATTTTAGCTGTGAGTATGTTGGGAGTGGGAGAATCGGTAATGGCGGAGTTGGTAGTTGTTCTAGTGAAGAACTGCATGGTTTGTTTAGTTGGAGGAATAGTGTGATAAATAAGAAAAAAGAACAACATAGTTTAGGCATGATGGTTTTGAATCAAGATTTGTTCTTGTTTGGTTTGGTTTTTTTAAGGTTTGAAGGAAAACTAGAAAAGGTTGAAAAATGTTGTAAATGGAGCAAAGACAAAGAGTAAGTTAGAAGATGGAACTATCATGAGTAATTGTCATGATGATTGTAGTGGATGACAACTTTACAATTGTTCACATGTTTAGGTTTATGTTCACTTTCCACGAGGACAAAATAAAAAGATTGTTTCTATGAGTGCCATTCACTTACATGTGGGGGTGTGTAAACCCATGTCACATGGTTAATTAACAAACTAGTCCTCCCTTCTAGCTATATTATAAATAAATTAATATATTTTTTAATATAAAAATATTAGATATATCAATTTTTAAAAAAATTTAAAAAGTTAAATTTTTTTATAATATAAAATTGAGGAAGTACGGATGATAAATCACATGATTACTTCTTCACTTTTAAATATGTCATATAGATCAAATTATATGAAAGGGTTGGTTGAAATTCAAGGAAAACAGAATATTTAGTAGGTATAGTAAGAGTGGTTTTACAACATGGTTTGAATTGAATTTGATATACAAATCAATTAACTACTATTTTTTATTTAAATGTGTCACTATTGTAAATGTTAAATGTAAATAATAATTTATAATATCAGGTCGAGATCCATTAAGTATAATATATTAAATTTATTTTTCTCACTATTTAAATAAAATTATTTTTAATTTATAATTATTTCACAAATTAAGTATTACTTTTTCCAATAATATTTTCTGGATCATCACTATTTCGCATTCCTCGCTTTGTTCGTGTAATCAAAATCGAATTCTAACATATTTTATTTTTAAGGTATATTATTTTGTTGCGACTGATTTTTATTTAGTTATTTATTCGCCGCTTATTGTCTCTTTTGAAATATATAATATTGTTTAATATCCGTACACTATCATCATCTATGAAATTTTTTTCATTTTAGTGATAATACATTCTTTATTATCAACTAGATAAACAAATCTAAAATTATCTAACATGAATGTCGTGAACCATTACCGGTGCAATGTCATATGGTGAAAATAACTAGAGTCAAGAATCCACGCATATGCGCACTTGCTGAATGAAACACATAGTATGTTTGCTTCACAACTAGAATCATTGGCTTGAATCACATTCGTAGGATTAGATGAGAGCTCCTTTCTGTTTGGACAATTCATATTCTAATGTCTAATTTGTTGTGAAATTGATAGAATAATTAAAACCACTTCAGAAGAATTATTCAAAGTTCAATCACAACAAAAAATTTGACGTGTGGAACAAAGAACAATGACAATCAGACAAATAATATCAAGCAATAAAATTATAGTATGCGAGAACACCAAGAATTTGTTTATATAGTTCGATCAAATCGATCTACGTCTTAGGGAGAGAGCCGTTTTCCAATTCACCATACTTCAAAGGTTGTTACAAGAAATTACAATATGAGTTACAAGAAAATAACCATTGAAGTTCCCAAGAACAAACCCTATTTTCTACCAAGTTTTTCCCAATCTCTGCAACTCTTAATCTAATAATCACATAAACCTAATGCGTTTAAAGTATTTACCAATCCCTTTGATAGCCCTAAAAGGCTACCACATATCTAGAATATAATTCTAAGGAATTTTACCCTTTACTTCTCACTAGAATTTCTACCTTATAGAACTTTTGTTTAACAAATGAGAGAAAAATCATATTTATAACTACAAAAATCATAACGGGTCCAAGATATGATCAATTAATAAATAGATCCGCGAAAAAACTTGAAAATTTGTCAGTATCAAAATATGATTTTTCCTCCTCTTTTCTCACTTGAGATTTTAAGGTATATTAAAACAATTCTCCATCTTAACCGGTACAAGATATGATCCATTTGCGAACAAACCAGTAAATCTGTCAGTACTGAAATATGTTCTTTTTCTTCTCTTTTCTCACTTGAGATTTTAAGTTATATTACAACAATTCTCCATGTTGAATTTAAATCGATGGTGATGTCAATTTAACAACCAACCATCTTATTGCTATGTCTAATGCTTAAATCACTCTTCAACAAATTTGATCAAGTCAAAGCAACGCTTGAACCTTAATCTTGACAAAGATTTAATGAACATATCTATTGAATTATCTTCTGAGGAAACTTTCTGAACCTAAATATCCTTTGAAACTATCAGGTAACTTACAAAGTGTAAATGGATGTCAATGTGTTTTGTCCACTCGTGATAAATTTGATGATTAATTAGGTGAATGACTCTTTGATAATCTCAATTTATCTTCACACATTATTGAGTAATCCCTAACTCCCAATCATGCCATTCATCCATATGACTTCCTTGAACCCTTCAACAAGGGAAATATATTAAGCTTGAGTATTAGATAATGCGACCATTGATTGCTGATTTCCCTTCCAACTTA